TTTTTTGGAATTGTGGGTTTATCTCTCATTTGCAGTAACATTTGATATAATGTTTGTAAAGTTTCCGTGTACAAAATAAACAAAAACCAGATCTGTACTCTTTTGGTATGAGCTATTATAGGTCTAAGTTTATTAAACTACTGTTGATTGGGCAATTTAAATGACATCACTATTTATGAATAATTCATGATCGTTCTTTTGTAGCTTTATAGTTCCTAGTTGTGTTGTTGTTGTTCGTGTGCATGTGCAGATCAACCGTTTACAGTCCATATTATCCACCAGGTTTTTAAGACCAAAAAAAACGCCCAAACAATATTGCTTTCTTTTTTACTACTCTCAGTGGGTAATAAGCACCACAACCATTTACTTGTTTCAAAGCATATACAAGACAAAATGTGATACATAAACAAAAACTATCAAAAAACAAGCTGCTCTCTGATTGGTCTGATTGTTATTGTTGGGTAGCCAATCAGACACAATCTTGTATTTAAAGTAGCTATTGATATGCAGACAATAGAGCGATCCTCTCGTTATGACAATGACTGCATCCAACTGCACTAAATTGCTTCAAAAGTTTCCACTTGATCTAACAATTTGTGGGAATTAAAATGAAAACAAAAGTGATTTAAAACTTGTGTACCTTAGCTGGACTTCTTTCAGATACATTTATTTTGGGATATCTTAAAATCTCCAATTTTGATGAATATTTTTGGTAAAAAGTGATATTTTAGATGACTTCTTGAAAATGACGAACCCGATTGCTTCAATATTTTATATGTAGACGTTTTATATGTGATGGCCATGTCAAATCAGCTAGTAGTTACCCGGACACTTAAGAGCTGAAAACCCAAATAAATCAGTCAAAAATCCACCATTCAACAATTCATGTAAAATATAAAAATATTGATGTTTATTGATACATCAATAAACATGCTTTCCAATCACAAATATATTTTGTTCAAAACCGTACAATTCATGAGAATTCTGATAGAGGGAGTGCATTATCAATTGTTACACCATCCATGATTGGTTGAAAGTCAGCTGATTGGGCCATAACCCTGGTTAGAGCACCATATTGACCATGTAACCAATAGTGTTTTGTGCAAGCCCCTGATTATAATATAGAATATAATAAAATAATGTTTTCATTTCCAGAACCAGAACACTCCATTACATATCGCTGCCTCTAGAGGACACACATATACAGTGGAGAGGTTACTACATATTGGTGCTAATGTGAATGCTGTCAATAAAGTGAGTGTGTTATCAATGCACGTGTAGTATATCAGTGTGTATACATGTGCTATACCAACTCACCCTCATGCATATTCTAGATTTCTTGGGAAAAAGAGTTTTTTGAGACTGCATATTGGGAAGGGAACCATTCAAAAATGATTCTTGGAAGTAAATTAAATGATTTTTTCCAGGGAATTTAGGAAAAATATCTGGCAAATTTCAAAATATATCAGACAAACAGAGGAATGGACTAAACCTGTCTACTGTTCATGTCCTAAATGTGGGTACTATTGGAGACTCAGTCAGAGAAATTCTCATGATTGTCCTGCGGAATTTATGAGAAATATCTGGCAAAGTTCAAAATATATCTCGAGAAGAAAATTCCAGACTGAGGCTACAAATGGAAGAAAATTAAAAGATTTTCCCAATAAATGTCATATTTGAGATAGTGTCATAGTGGGATGTTTTCCAACATTAGCTGTGTAAGAGTAAGGTGCAACATCATCACAATAATGGACAATACTGTGGGTACACACACATATGTTGATGAAATGAAGGTAAACAAACTTCAAGCATCACTCAATTTGAATGATATAATGTTGTCAAAATATCAAATTTGTGACTCTGGCCACAAAGCAACCTGTCCCGAGTTTGAAAAAAAATTATCTTGAAATGGTGCCAACAGTAGAAATAGCTTTCAAAAGATTGTCCCCACCAGTTCTCAACAATAGCGCCATCAACGATAAACTACGGAAATCATTCATCATTAATTTCAAATCTGGAAAAGTTGAGAATTTATTTTCCATTGATCTAAAATTAAAAATATCTCAGCATATTTTTACTCTTTTCATTGTTATCTGATCTGCTTTATAGTGTCATATTGCAGTGGTTTCAACCAAATCAAATGTCACACTAATGTAAGTGATTGCAATCCGGATGGATGTTCGTACAACTGCACTGCCATGAACCGCAACTAAAATACTAACAGTATATGGTTAATACTCCGGTACTAGTATAGCAGCCAAGGTTCAAAGTCAGATATTTATGTTACACACAACCAAGGCCATTGGGAGTGTCAATGAGCGACTTAACAAATTGCAATTCAAATTATTAGATAATAGTTATTACGTTGTACTGTCCATTTTTAGCACCACCACATCTGAAGACATTCATTTGTACCCTCTCTACCTCTACCCTCTTCTTTCCTCACTACATTATACATGAATTCCTTTCTTTAACTACAAAATGTAATCATCCAACAGCTTCTGTGTATTAAATGTCAGTAAAAGTTTGCCACTACCAAAATATTAGCACCAGTGCACCCAAAGTACAGGTACAAAAAATCCATAATTTTCATCCACAAAATAGTCCTGTAAAGTCTGCTCCTTCCCATGTGAAATCTTCGTAAAAATTAACAAACCTTGCGGTCACAAATTAAAAGCAATATGAACAAAAATTATACTGACATAACCAGGAAATTGTTTCTGAATGTGTACTGAATTTTTGGTGGTCATAGTCATGAGTAATATTTTAAGTTTTTTTTTCTCCAAAACAATTAATTGGCTAAAAAGTATTTCATGGGACAATTTCGCTTCCCATGTATTTTTTGATGAATTCACTTTATTTTAAAAAAATCAAAATTAACCTAGAAAAGAAATTTAAAGCAAAATTTCTGCCACCCGTTCATCAATAATG